TGTTGGGAGTATACTTCAATCTGCATATCAATGTACAGTATTTATACATATTTCTCTATTTATATCACAACGTAAATTCCATAGCACTAACCTGACTAGAAAGTATGTGTTCAAAATCATTCACACTGCTTCCATTTGTGGTCGAGTATTGACTTCAAAACAATGGCGCAATATATGTTGTTTCTATGCACCACGGCCCATATATGTGTACAAATAGTAGAAATTGAATAATGAGATCAATTGATAATTAAACTACAGTTATTATGTTCCCATGAGATAGGTAAAATAAATAAATAAATATCAGATGAATTAACGAGCCACAGTAACAGCTTCATAATAGTTTCTCAAACACAAATTCCAACCACATATAATAAGAACAAACACAAGATCATGAGAATGTCACAACAACAACTAACATGACCATCGTTTTTAAGCCCAAGCCTATTATAATCGAGTTCAGGAGTCGTACGTATCCAATTTAGAATGTAGGTGTTACGTACTTTTATTTTTCACAATCCATCATATCGAGCTCTTTTATACGATAATATTACTTATCTTATATTAATCACTCTGAGTATAACTATCCTGATCAGACATTTTTTTTTGAGCTCGTCTATAGTTCTCACTTTCAGCTGAATTTAAAATATATGTTACACTTCACTTAGGACTGGACGAATATGTAATATGATCATATTGGATAATTTTCTTGTGCGTCAGTATTATCTGTTTTTGTTTTTATATGACTCAAAATATCATTTGTTTGTTTTTGTTTTGTGCACACGGTACAGACTACAGAGAGAACCCTAGACTAGGGTTATGAATTTATTTATAAAGTTTATCAACAAAATCATGTCTTGACTCTCGAGGGCTATGAAATCACTTAAGAAAAGCTGAAAAGAGGTGTATCGTCTGAATGTTGGCTTTTTGGTGAATAATAAGGTAAATACATTTATATTAGACGTCTTCGGCTTTGGTAGACGAAAGGACACGTTCGACGACGCCTACGAGCCTGTCTGCATACATTAATACAAGTTATTCGCGATCTGGTCCGCATGTATGAGTGAAAACTCCAAAGATGGCCAGAACGAAACAAAGCGCAAAGCGCCGGATGGATGAACAAAAAAACGGTGGCCAAAACGGAGGTACGAACCCTATTATCCTATGATTGCATTAACGTGAGAGATTTTTCGCAGTATGTGAATCAGACTTTGTGTAGGTCATATATCTATGTATCTATAAACACACTCACGAGCGTGCACAAAAACAATAAATACGCACACACACATACATATACATAAACACTCGCACATATACACGCATACGTAAACACTCCGCGCGCGCACACACACGCACACAATTACATAAATACACGCAAAGACACACACTCATGCATAAATACATAAAAAAATACACACATACATAAAAATACCCACGTACACACTAGTACAAACACCCACGCACACAAACGCAGACACACACGCACATACACAAGCACACATTCGCACAAACACAGGCAAAAACACATACACATACATACACACACACAGAAAGAAGCACGAATATACACACGCAGAAAATAAAATTACGCGACAACAACACGCTCACATACATACACGCAAAATATTTTCATACAAACACACCCACCCACCCACCCACACACACACAT